GTCTCTTCCTCCCTCCCTTTCCCCAATAGTAAATCCCTTTTCAGATAGTAAATCAGTTACTTAGCATTTTCTCATATCAATAATACCTCCACATGCCCAATGATACACTTCACACAAAAGACATTTCCAAATAGGTCAACTAGCCTCATCCAGGCCCCACCCAAGGCACTCACAGATCAACACCCCAGCCCTATTCTAACTCAACACATCCAGATCTAAGCCTTCATCACTTGATTCAGCAGACCCTCAAGTTCCCGCAAAAGTTTCCAGCCATGTCTGAGAGGCAGCCGTGGGGCAGGGGCAGGGGCAGGCGAGGAGCGAGCTGTTCCAGGCCTGGCTGCTCAGAGCCTGGCCTCTGTTGCTCTGGTTCGTTCCACAACCAGCTGAGGAGCTTAATTATTAATTACTGTAATCCCTCACGTCCCGAACGTGGCACTTTACAAACGCCAGCCTCCCACAGTCCCTCCCAAAAGGCAGGGATGGAGCACAATGAGACCTTTCCTCTTACCACTTCCCCCCACCCCCTCTCACACACACTCATTATATAATAAGCAAACTGAGGACCAGACAGGAAGTGGAACCTGACCAATGCCAATGTGCCGGTGGCAGAGCCGGGGTTGGGGCCACAGGCCAGCCAATGCCGAGTCCTGACTCTGAGAGGGGCCACCCGGTAGCACCCACAGAACAATAGCAGCTAACAATGGCCTGCTAACACCCAGCCTGCCTGCTGAACCCAAACTGGCCCTGGAGCTCCCTCCCACCTCAGGAGGCCTTTTCCTATGACTTATTTTCATGGGATTGTCAGTGAGGTCAGACCCTCCTGGCACATCCCTGATTTACGTCTCCCTTTCCTCCACTTCCAGAATTATAAATCACTGCCATTGCCAGCATCTCAGTATGAATAATGGCTCGCGTTTGCTCGGCTCTCCAAAACTTAGCAAGGACTAACCCATCCATCAGCTCATCTGAGCTTCATAGCGGCCATGGGAAGCATTTCACAGACAAGGGCACTGAGCATCAGAGAGGGCAAGTAACCAGCCCCGGGTTCCCCAGCGAGGCCGAGGGAGAGCTTACTCTCTGCTGGAGAGAGAAGCTATGCACGTGCCACGGGGACGATAGGGCGAGATGATAGAATTTAGTGCAGTTCTGCCAGGAGGTCTCCTGTCACCTCCATTTTACAGATGGGGAGACTGAGTTTCGGATCTTTTTACTGGTTAGGATTGAACTATCTGATGGAAAAGCTCATGCTCTTTCTGACACGTAGGTTCAGGGAGGGGTATAGAGCTTCTAGCATGGCACGCATCCTCTCTAGGCTGGAGGGAGAGGCTGGTGGGAGGTGAAGGCAGTTGGGTAAAAGGGCTTCCTGAGGAGGGGGTTCGGAGGTGCAGGGCTGGCTGTGCCGAGCCAAGGTGGTGGGGCCGCAGAGCCAGGCCAGATGCCCATCTGCCTGCCAACCCGAGCTCCTCCTCACAGGGTTGAGAAATTTCCTGGGTTCTGACCCAATAGGCGTGCCAACAGAGATGGGGAAGTCCTGAACTGTTGGCAGGACGGGGTCTGTTTCTCATCCACCACAGAGAGAAATTGAAACATGAGGACAGACGGTCACAACACATACAGCAGAGCCAGCCTCTCTTCGGCTTTCAGTCTCCCAATCTCAAAAGGGGAAGTGTGGAATGGAATGAACTTGACGTTCCTTCCAGCTCCGACCTCCTGAGTGCCGTGCATCCATCTTCGCTGTCCTGGCCTCAGACCCCAACCTCTGCTGTCCGTACACCTGACATGTAGCCCTGGGCAAGTAGCCAGTGTCGCTGAGTGTCAGAGTCCTCATGAGTGGAATTAACTATGACTTCTCCTTCCTTGGACGGATTTAAAGAGCCATGCATGGGGGCAGGTCTGCACAGCTTGGGGTCTGACCCCCAGGCAGCACCTGGGGATGGGGAAGGCTGTGGCTCTGGCTGAGGCTCTCACTTGTCTGCTCAGACAAGCGCTCATTTATAGATATCCGCTCCCTGGCTGCCAGGCCAGGGGGAAGTGGGAGCAAGGGTGCTGAGCGGGCAGTTTGGACCCTTTTCAGGAAGAAGCCTCTGGCCACTGTTCCTCCTGCCCCACCCCCACCCCCGCCGATCTTCTGGGCATCCTCACAGCAATTCTCATAACAGTTCAGAAGATCAGTATCTTGACCTCACAATCTCCATTAAACAGATGCGAAGACGAGACTCAGAGAGGGGAAAGGATTTGCTCCAAATGCCACTGCAAGGCAGTGACAGAGCTGGGACCGGAATTGAGGTCTTGAGCCTGGAGCCCAGGATTCTTCCCTTGTACCCAAGCTTAGCGAGTTCTAGAAAATGAAGTCTCCTATTTTGCCTGGTTTGCAAAAAAGTAAACAAACCACCACCAACAACAACAACAAAAGCATTTTCTTACGTGGGTTGATGCAGAGAGGGGAAGGGCTCGGGTTCTGCAAACTCCCTGAGGTTGGATGAACAGCGTCAGGCTCGGCACGAGGACACGGGACTGTGCGATCGTCATGGGGCCTGGACGCTGCAAACCGTGTCAGGCTCTGCCAACAGCACAGGACTCAAAAAAGGCATCATGTTTGCAAAGTGGGGGATTCGCAGATGGTGTTGCAATCCGTACATACCGTGGGGCTCCATAGAGTGCAAAGGGCTCAGCAAACACCACACTGGCCGGAGTGCAAACACGTTGTTGGTCAGACCTCAGCCTGGGCTGCCCACAGTGGGGCCTCAATGCAGGATGAGCCAAGAGCCATTCAAGGGCTTGTGAGCCTAACTCCCAGAGGCTCCTGGGTACATGACCCATGCTCCTAGTCCACAGGTGAGTTCGGGATTATTCTTGGACCAGGATGTGTCAGCATGGGGAGGCTGAGGTGGTCAATAAAGACTGTGCCTGTGTCTTCCATGCCCCGTGGGGTGCTCTGCATTGAGGTGAACTTTATCAGGCAAGTCAGTCCTCTGGTAGGAGGGAATGGACCACGTGTCTGACCGGTGGGGCTCAGACCAAACCTGGGTTCAGCAACCTCATTACTTGGGTTGGGGCTAGGAAAGAATTCAAAGTCCAGACCCAAACTGTAAGAGAACACTTACTGGGTAAGTCACAGAGGTAGAAAAAGTAATGGCTAGAAGAAATGAGCTTAGGAAACAAGCTCATTCTGATGGTAAAAGAAGGACCTTGGAGCAAGGGAGCGGGAAAGCTATTGGTAACTCGCCTGGGGAGGGGGCGAGGAGGGGGCGGGAAATGGGAGGAAAAGGCTCAGGGTATTCCCTGGAGGGAGAGCACGCTGGTTCCTCCTTCCTGAGGGTTTAAAGGTGGAGAGTTTAGGGCAGATCCCAGGGGAAGATCTTAGCACATTGCCGACCAGTAATTTTATTGCTAGCTTTACCCAGTGGCCAGATAAGTTTCTACTGAGCGAGTACAAAACACGTTCTACATAAACGTTAAAGGCACACTTTAAAACTACATACCCACTGCATTTTGAAATTATTTATTTCGTGTTCTTACAGGTTAATATCTTTTTAAAGTGTGACACTTTGTAAAACACTGTGTACTAGGAAGCGAGAATTCTTGTGATCCGTCCGCCATGCTAATAGAATATTCAGTACTTTTCCAAGTGTGCCCTTTCAGGGTTGTGGTCTCCACTGACCGATGGGTCAGCACCGGGGAGGGGGTCATTATTCAGTGCAGCTGGTCCTGAGAGCAGCCCTAGAATCACTGGTCTGGTTCTATTGGCTTTCCGGGCCTGGAGCTGAAAAACAACTGAGGCACAGTTGTTATCTCCAGGGAGGAAAGGTCAGGGGGTCTGAACCTCATGACCAGAGATGTGCTGGGGGAAGAATGGTCACCCTGGGGTGTAGGCAGGGGAGGCCCCCCTACAATCAATTGTCTGTTGTCAGACACCTGGAGCTTCCCATCCCGGTGACCTTCTGTCCCTGGCCCAACATCCTCGCTCCCGTCTGCCTGACTGCCTACAGCAACCCCAGGACACACCCAGACCAATCCCTATGCGTAATTTCTTCTTCCCCCAGAGCCAAGCTAGGGGCAACTGGGCTTCCAGAAAGTCCAAAGGAACCTTTCTTCTCTCAACCATGCCCCTTCCATTTGGAATCAGGAAAGTTGCACCTCCACCAATCTCATACGTAGTTGTCCTCCTGCTTTTCTTCCCCCCTGACACCCTCCCCCATCAAGAGGGCCATGCTTTATGGAGCTGCTACTGTGAGTCCCTACCAAGTGGGCTGGCCATTGCGATTCCCAATGGACAGAGTCCCTCCTTGCTCCAAATCCTCGGAGGAGATGGGGGTTCAGTGAGAGGGAACCAGAGCCTGAGGAGGACAGGGGTTCGGTGAAGGGGGACAGTGGGGAAACAGGGGCTCAGGAACAGCAACAGAAGCTCAGCGAGGGGGACAAGAGCTTAGTGGGCCGGGGAGCACAGTGAGAAGAGTCAGGACTGAATGACCACAGGGCTTGGGGACACTCCCATTGGCCCCACCTCTCCACTGCTAACAGAGGAAGGAAAAATATCCAAGGGAAATGCTGAGGCCAGAGGCTGGGGAGAAGCAGGCTGTCTGCAGCCTCCTCCCATCCGCGGGGCTGGATCTAAACAAACCCAGCCTCCTTCACAACTGGCCCCGGGCTGCCCCAGGCAGAGATCAGAGGAATTCAGAGAGACACAGAGAGATTGTGAGTTTGTAAGTCAGGTTGCAGAGAGAGAGAGACAGAAGAAATAAGTGAGTGAGGCAGAGAGGCACTTGCAGAGTGGGGTCAAGTTTGAGCAGGACTTCCCTGCCCACACCTGGAAAAGGCAGCTGCTGCCTTGTGATCGAAGAAGCATCGGCCAGCGCCTGGAGGCCCCACGTTAGTGCGTGCCTGCTGCGGCTTGAGCCTTGTCTCTGGGAGTCCCTGATAAGAGCTCACTCCCTCTCTCCTGCTGCGCTCCGGTCCTGGGGCTGAAACAGGGGCTGGACCTCACCGCACCCCACACCGTCATGGGACCCAGGATAGGTAAGTCTGGAGGGAGGAAGGAAGGGGTATCGGGAGGGGATATGGAGGCCGCATTCTCAATTGGGGGAAGGGGTGCAACTGTTGAGCCAAAATGGGTGTGTTGGGGTGAGGTGGGGCGGGGGAAGGGAAGGGGACCTCGCGGTTCCTTACCCGGCACCTGTGAGAGTGTGTGGAATAAATGAGTGAATTGCGGGAGGGGCAGGAAGGGACGCTGTTTACTTAGCTGGACATAAGAGACCTTATGAGACCGAGTGACTGTTAGCATAAAAACATTCAAACCCGTAAAGAATTGTTGTGAGTTTATTTGAGCCAAACTGTCGACAATGGCCAGGAAGCAGTGTCTCAAGGGATTGGGATAGTGCTCCAGAGAATGGCAGTTTTTACATCTATTTTTATCCATTGCTATCAAAGGAGGGGGACATAGGTAGGTTATATGAAATCCACGGGTGACTGAGAGAGCTGGGAGAAAGCAAAGTGGGGAAGCCTTTGGGATTGGATAAAAAGTAAAATGCTAGACACATACTTGGGTGGGTGCGGGATAGTTAACAGTCAACAACGAACGTGATAACAATGAAGGAATTTGTGGTATCCTGGCGCTCAGGCACATTAGATTGTGCTCCAAGGGATCCAGAAAAAGGGAAGTTACATGTTACCTTGACATTTCAAGGATATGTTATCATAGATGCAAATAGGCCGAATTAAGGTAAATGGCCTAGGACTACCCACCATAACGGCTTTTAGTTAAAGTTTAATTTCAGACCATCCTTCGTGATTACTTTAGGTCTCTGAGTTTGCCAGACGGCCATGAGCTTGTCAGGTTAGCATGTGGTCCCTTTAGTCCACACAACCAACAGGGCAATAGAAAGGCAACCTGCCCTTCCGATTCCTTCACCAAGCCCCGTTTCCCCTCTCTGAAGCAGCCAAAGAGAGAGACAAACACTGCAGGAAAAAAGAAAGGTAGAGACAGTGCAATCAGAGGCAGAACAAGCCCAGAGATATGCAGAGTCAGACAAAGGCCAGGCTGGGACAGACACAGGGAGAGAAGACAAAGCTTAGCAGGTGTCCGCGGGAGCGTGCCCCGGGACCCAGAAGCATGCAGAGACCAGCCCCCGAGAGAGGGCTGCAGGAGAGACTAGGAGAGAGTACCAGAAGGAGACAGATTCAGGACAGACCTACAGATCTGCAGACAGAGCCGCAGAAAGACCAGCGGAGAAGAGACTGCAGAGACCTGTGTGCATCGGCTCCAGATGGGGAGGCGGCCAGAGGAGAAATAAATGCCTTGAAGCCCTGAGAAGCCAGGCCTGGGGAGTGACTGAAGTGCCCTGCGGAGAGGGTGGTGGTTCTGAACTTAGTGCTGAACTTTTCCTAGACCTGGGAGGAAAGTGGAAGAAACAAATAATCTTTGATCTTCGGACAGGGTGACTCTTTGCGCTGGACCCTGCAACGATTATCTCTGGCGTCCCTCCAGCTGCCTGTCCCTCCTCACCGTGTTGGCCTCATGCCAATTCAGGCAAGGCCAGGCTTGCTCCCTGGAGTGCAGCCGTGAGAGCTTTGCGGGCTGATGGAGGCTGAGCGGGCCTGGCAGGCAGACCGGGCTCTGTCACAGCCACGGCGTGGGGACCGTGGCCTGGCAGGAAGGGTGGGGACGGACACTTCCTCTGGGGGCCTCACAGGAGAGATGACTATGAGGTTTGGAGATGGGCCACTGACAAACCAGTTTCCCCATTGGCCTTTGGGAGCTATGGGACGGGAGAGTGGGCGATCCTATGGGCATGGGAAGGAACTAACATAGAGACTTGGTCCATTACTGCACCAGCTCCCCAGCCCCGCCCTACCCTGACTGTTATTCTGAGCCCTGCTAGGCTCCGTTCTGGAATATTCTCTAGCTGCCCCCCAATTCACACACACACACACACACCACCAACACCTACAGCCATGAAGCAGGAAGCCGGCCCCAGCACCTGCCCACTCTGCCACTAGAAGGCACACCTGGCCCATCTCCCTAAGTCCCAACCCGAGCTGTGGCCGCTTCCCCAGGCTCTCTTTCCGGTTTGAAAGCATCCTGAGGGACATGGGGATGCAGGTAGGGCAGGTCCAGAGCCCGCAGCCTGAAAAGAGACCCAGTCCCAGCTCGCTGGAGGGGGAGGGACCAGCAGTCCCAGACAGAGGCAGAGAGGAGCCTCGGTCAGACAGACGTGGCTCTCAGTTGGGACCCATCGCCAGCTCACCACGTGCCCTCAGGCCACAGGAAGAGCTTTCGTGTCTATGGGGGAGGGGCCGGAGGACAGGAGCTAAGGCAGGAGTGGGGAACCTTTTTCTACAAGGACCATGTGGGTAATTATAACATCAGTTGTGGGCCGTACAAAATTATCAACTTAAAAATTAGCCTGTTGTGTACGTGGTCAAACATTTAATTGACTCGCCCCTGCTGCCTTGGCGGGTGATTGTGTGGGCCTTCCAGGGCCCAAAGGCTAGGCTGTCCCTCACCCCTGAGCTAAAGCCAGCCCCATTTTAATATATATATATATATATATATATATGTATATATATATATATATATATTATTGAGTTTTTACAGAGAGGAAGAGAGAGGGATAGAGAGTTAGAAACATCGATGAGAAAGAATTATCAATCAGCTGCCTCCTGCACACCCCCTACTGGGGATGTACCCGCAACCAAGGTATATGCCCTTGACCGGAATCGAACCTGGGACCTTTCAGTCTGCAGGCCTACACTCTATCCATGAGCCAAACCAGTTCTGGCACCAGTCCCACTTTGTGATTCGGAAAAGCCACTGTCCCCCGCTCTAAGCCTTTGCTCAGCTTTACCTTCACCTGGAAGCCCTGCCCTCCACCCGCATCCCGTTCTGGTGAAATCTGCCCCTTTCCAATGTCTCCAAACCCCACTCCCACAGCAAGCCTTTCAGACTGATTCTCCACTAGCGGCAGCCTCTCTCCCACATGCTGTGTGACCCTCTCTCTGTGCTTCACCCTCCTTTGTTCCCTGTGTTGTTTCTGCTGCTTTTCCCCAGCACTTCTGGGTTCAAATGTGAGCTAATCCAGGGCAGAGAGCTGGGGCCAGAGAAAACACATCTCAGCTCTGCAGCACTGGCTTTGTGGGAACGCAGAGAAGGCGGTGACATGCTCTCACCTTTGTGATAGGAGAGGAAACAGATGGTCAAAAAGGGCAAGGGACTCGCCCAAGGTCGCCCTGCAAGCACGCGGCAGCGTGGGGGCCAGAATCCAGCTTTCCCTGATGCCAAAGCCCTTTCTTCTCTGTCCGTGCCCACGCGGCTTCCTCTGCCCTCCCACAGTCTCCATGCTGGGGAGCCTCCACCTACGCTGGGCACTTCCCCCCTGACTCCAGACAAAGCCAGTGTTCCCTGGGGGCCAGTGACTGGGAAGCGGGCAGTACGTATGTGGGGAGGCATTATTTCCTCCCAGGCTGGGCCTTGCCCGCTGAGCCAGATGTCGGGCAGCTGTGAACCACATGGGGCGCTTGCTTGGACCCCCCAATCGGGTACCAGGCATCCAATGTCCAGTCTGCCTCTGTCCCTTTCCGGGACCCACTTTCCCCATCTGAACGGTGTTGGCCAAGGTGGTCACTCACTCCCTTCCTATTCTGAGAAGCTCAGTCTTCGGTCTTTGGCGGGAGCCGTGGAGCAGAGGCCTCTGCTGAGGGCAGGGTCCAGTCTCCCCTTCCATGTTAGGGGCCTTGGCTATCTGTAGGAGGCCAGCCTGGGCCTCAGCCACACCCTAGCGGCAGAAAGGAAGAAAACTTGGCCCCGACCGCTCCTACCACCCCTCATGGCCTGCAGCCCCGAGCCCTAAGCGCCAATGCTTGGCATTACAAAGAACAACACCCAACTCACCAGCCTGGCAGCTCCTTGGGGGTGGGGTCTCATTGGATTCATTCCTAAAGCCCCAGAACTCAGCACAGGCTGGGCAGAAGTCATCCCGGGGAAGGCTCAGTACTAAGCTGTCCTTTGTCCTCTTCATGTTTTCCCTCCCCTCATGGCATGCCTTCCCTCCCTCCAGCCTGTTTTGAAAGCCCACTGAGGACTGGAGATTCATGATCTGGAGTGAGGTGAAGTACCACAGGGGTCACCGGGGATCAAGCACAGGGAGTGATGGAGCTGGAAGTAGTGGTTGGAGGCCCCAAGGCCTGGGCCAATGACACTGATCTCCGAGCTTCAGGCTCTGAGTTTTAGGCCTAAGGACACTGGCTCAGGGCCACCCTCCCCATAAGCCCTCATCTCCATGTTCAGGGTCATCCTGGGTCTAGAAGGGTAGCTGGGGCCAGAACCGGGAACAGAAAGTCCCAGCACAGGGTCCCTGACCTGGCTTGGAAACCACCAGAAAGTGCTTGGCCCCTTCCCCCACCCTGCATGGATCTCCTTCAAGAAGCAACAGCTGGGAGGCCTGCAACAGCTGGACCTCAAGCGGCTATTGTCCTCTCAGCAGGCCACCCAAGGGTCCTGCTAGGAGGAGGAATTTCCCAAAGACGACAGCCAAGGTCTATGCCTTTAAGTCTCCCCCCTCCCTGCCCAGCCCCGCCACACTGGGGGGACCTGGAGCCCGCAGGGCCCCCACCCTACCCTGGAATTCCCTTACAGCCCCCCACCCCCCTCTGTTTTCCCCCTCATTCAGTTTACCTCAAAATCAACAATCGTGATTTTAAGGCGGGCCAGGTCTTGAGAGATGAGAAGTGGTTTGTTGAGGAGGAAGACCCTCCAGGATGAATAAGAGCCCGTGCAAATGCCGAGGGGTGGAAAAACCACAATGAATTTGGGGAATGGCAAGCACCTCCTGGGGCCCAGAGAGTGATGTTTACAAGGGGTGAGGGGAGGAGACAGAGTGGCTCCCAGTGGCCTTGACCTCCCTGAGGCCGGGGCTTCGGCACTCAGGCTTCGGCAGACGGCGTGGGAGGGAGGGGGGGCTGACCGTGGTTGATGACTTCAGTGTAACCGGCAGGGCACTTTCCTGTGAGACACTTCTCTC